GGGGGGGGTCTATGGTGGGGGAGCCTCGGAGGAGATTGCATCGGAGAGGCAAACCCGTGGGCGCGCGTTTTCGGGTGTTAAAGTTAAGATGAGTTTTTTCTATCCCTCAAAGGGTAACCGGCTGACGAGCGGAAAGTCGTGGGCAGTCTGTTTTGTGGGCAGGACAGCGAGCGCAAAACGAGCTCTTGTTTTTTTTTTTGTCCTGGGTAGTCGTGTGTGTAAGGCGGCCCGTCGCGCTCCTGGGCGGTTGGCTCTACTGCTATGTATGTGCTGATTGGGTACTTTTGTTGGTTATATGTATATTTCTTTTTTCTCCCATCATTAAACTCGGTCGTCTGCCCCTCTGGCCCCTATCCTCCACTTCTACTAGCTAGACGACCCAACCGGGGTCACACAGGAGGGGAGGGTTCGACCCCCTCCTGCGGTTTTTGCATTGCGGTAAATAGTACCGCGCCGTGCCACGGCTGTGCGTCTCCTTGCCGTTTCTGTGTCGGGCCGAGCTCTTCTTGTTGCCCCAGACATACTATGCGTGAGCCTGGTGTTTATTGCGCGCACGATCCCCCGGCTGATGAGTGAAGTACCAGCTACACCGAAAGGTGCGTGGACTGGCGCCAGAATACATCAATATGACGAACGCCCACCTCACACACACCTCACACACACGTTGACATCCAATCCGATGCCGATATTACTTGTCGCGAGTCGAGAAAATCTCTCACAGCAGCACCAGGAATGCTGGTGTTACTTTTGGCATAAGGGGCGGAGGCGCGCCAGAATGTTTTTTGTTTTGTGCTGACCTGGAGTACGTTTTTTGTTTTTTTCGGTCACCACGGGGCCGCCACCCCAACGGATAGAACAAAGGTGTCAATGTCGAATGGCAATTGGGCAAGAGAGGGCAGTAGGGCATCGACAGCCCGACACGGAACTCCTTGTGGAAAATGAAATAGAGGTCTACCCTACCTTGTGTGAGATTTCGGAACAACGCATATTGTTCGTCATAACACAAACTCGAGGACTCAATTCGCGACAACAGCAATATCCCCCCCTGTCCCCCCTTCGATCTATATTTTTTTTGTTCTGGATGGGGTGTGTGACAAGACAGGTTCGGACAGAGAGACAGCATCATGATTCGCCCCTACCCTGCCGCCTTTTTTGTGTTGGTGGGTGGTTTGTTGTTGGGACTTCCGCAGTTGACCTGACAGGTTCAGACTGGAAGACGGAAGGCGTAAGTCCCTGAGGCAGAGATGACATCAACATCCGTCCTTGCCCTCCCCGTCCCCCTGCCGCCTTTTATGTCGTTGTTGTCGGGGCTATTTTAAACCCTACAGGTTCGGGCTGGAAGACGGGAAGCGAAAGTCCCTGAGGCAGATCGCGGAGATGGTGAGAACGTCGCAGAATTACGTGCGACGCGTGGAGGGCACGGCCATGAGGAAGCTGCGTGCCCCCGAGCAGCAGCGACGCCTCCGGGACTTCAGCAACTCCTCCTCCTCCGGCGGGCTCTCCTCTATTTCTCCGCGGCGTTCGTCGATCCCCGCAGCCTCGACCGCACCGTCTTGGGAGGAAGTGTTGGCCGCCGCCGCGGCCTCCTCCTCTTCAAACCACAATCGGATTAGTGGCCGCGGCGGGCGGCGGGCGAGACGAGAAGTGACGGGTCGTCGTAGCGCGGTGTCGAGCCGATGAGGCCGCCGGGCGTGGAGGGGTTGTTGTTGTCGGTGTTTTGGTTCGGGGTTTTGCAGTTATTGAGAGAGGTGTCCGGGGATATACAGATGATGAGACAGCAGCAGCACGAGGGATGTGAAGGAAGGAAGGAAGGAAGGAAGGAAAATAATAGAAAATAAAAGAAAATAAAAGACAGTGGGCGTCGTTACCGTCTTGTCTTGTCCATATTGATATATTTAGCTCTCGTCTTCCAACAGCTGTAGACGTGCCGTCCTGGTTGTAATAGTGCGTGTCTCTGCCCTGTCCGTTTCATAGCTCCCTGGTTTGCTCGGACGTGTATCTCTAGCCGCGCGTTTGAAACCCCCGTTTGCTTCTCTAGGAAACCTCAGTCCCTCTCTAGGAAACCTCCGCTCCCTCTTGAGGGAATCCCTATCCCTTCCTTAGGATTCCCCCGTTTGCTCTTTGGGAAACTCCCGTTCGCTTTTTCAGAAATCGTTCCCTCTTTTCGTGTCGGTGTTTGGCTTTGGGCGACGTGACGTGTTTCTTCTAGCACGGAGGTCGGGTAGACAGGAGGGAGGGGCGGGTACGGACGTAGGGTCTCTTTAGCAGTACACCAGGTAGAGTGAGAAAAGTCTGGCTCAGCCACGACGAATCGACTGCTGCTGCTGCATTGTCGGGAAGGGCAAGAAAGGGGTTCGCTCGCCAGCCGCATAACGGAGGAGCGACTTCAGCCTAGTTCTCAGGTCGTGGTAAACCTGGCGGTCTGATTGGATGGACTCGGTATCCCATGGACAGAGTTTTTTTCTCAAGCACAAGAAGCAAAATCCCACATCTCTTGAGAGGCTGCGGCGGCGGCGGAATCGGCTAGTCGAGAGGCCGAAACCGCATGGAAACTTGAACGAAACGGTACCTGTTTGTGCGCCTCTTTGAAGCCATCACAGCGGGTCGTCTTCTTCGCCTCAACACACGGGCATACGAGGTTCTGACGTCACGAGGGTCGCGCTAGCGGGGGGGGGGGGGGG